TGTACACACATATGCATGCACGCATGCACACAAAGGCTCTATTCCCCAATACAGCCTCAGTGTGTTATCTTAATATCTATCCTTTCTGCTAGAGCCTGACTTCCAATCTAATCTCTCTGTGGCTGGGGGGGGGGGGGGACGAGTTTGAGTTTCTTGGCACTCCAACTTTCCTAGAAGACCATAAAGAGAGAAGTCAGCAGCTGGTGCCACTTAAGGGAGGAGACAACAGTGCAAAAGTTCTTTCGCCAGCAGACCTCCTAAATCCCTAACCACACCTCCCCTCAATAGCATGCTGTCAGAATTTCTAGACCCAATTCCAAGAGGGAACTGTTGCCATCTATCACAGTGGTCACAGGCCCAGGGACCCCCACTCTTGACCACTCCACACTGCTCTCAGTGCTGATGTATAGCTCTCAAGTGCATCCTCTCCATTCTACTTGCTGTCCTGAGCAAGAAACGACAGCAGCAAAAGAACCTAAGTCTTCAGATGCATTCTTCAAACTCAAATGATAAGTCAAATGATACTAAAATATTCAGGGACTTGCCACACCACGGCTGCAGGAACCTTCTTGCTCTCGATGAGGTAGGCTATTGGGCTAGTGAATTTGGACTTCACTTCTGTTTCCAATCATATAAAGGCACTCATTGTGTCCCCTTAAAGAAAGCCAAGAGCCCCTCCCCAAGATGTCCCTTAATGAGAATACAGCCTTTTTCTAAGAAAAAGTCGGTCTTCATTCTCCCTCTCATCTTTCATGAACAGTGATTTATCTTGTTCCAACAGCTGTGCCTCCATATTAACACATTCCTAGTCTTTCCAGCAAAACGTATGTAAATTTGAATCCTTAAACCATGATTGGGTTTTAAGAGCCACATAGCATTAATAACTTTTAAAATTTGGCCCTTATCTTAATGAAAAACATGGCTTCCCCAAGTAAGTAAGGTCAGAGGAGGGAAATGCTATTACTGGGTTACATTTTACTAACAGAAAAACACATATGGGAACATCATTGCCACGCAACACTGCTCCAAACCAACTGTCCACTAACAATCAAAAATATCTGGCTAAACATTTTTTTTTTCCCTAAAACTACCTAGGTTTTAAAAGTTAACAAGGAGTAATTCCTTAGTTCTCAAGTAAAATTAATATGCTGGGTAGATATCCATCAACAGAATTGATTTCACTTATCTGCTTAACTTTGAAGCCTACAATAAAGCAACTGGAAACATAAGTAAAACTAAAATGAAATGCAAGGCCAGGAAACCAAGAATCTACAATATACATGATTCAAAGATACTATTATTACACTAAACACTATTGAAAAATCTTCAAACACTGTTTGACAAGAAATGTACTCATTACCTTACTTATGTAACTGTAATCCCTCTGTACATCACTTTTACAATAAAAAAAAATTTTTAATCTACACTGTAGATTTTAAGGAGAGAAAATTAAGGAATCTTAATTAGAGCCTGGAGGTTGGTACTGAGACTTTCAGATTGACTTTCCAAACAATGTTTCATCTCCAATGGAAGAGCGATGATGTGGGAAATGAATTTGTCAGAGTTTACTCACTGGTTACCTAGGGGACTTTCTCAAAAAAATGTGTGATACAAGGAGATGAGCAAATTATGGTCACTCCCACGCAGTAATTATATAAAGTCTATTAGCAAAATATGTGTAAAACCTAGGGCTAACAGAACCATACATGTAGTGACATGCTTTAGGAAATCCATACAATTTCTATTTTTTAAAGACCAATTTTTCAGGGGATGTTTCAAACATCAATATAAAGAAAAACAAAGACTATTAAAACAGAAATGCACTGGGAAGGGATGTGAAGGGTAAACAAAGGAGGAGGCTGCAATGCTTGATAAGAAATGTACTCATTATCTTGCCCATGTAATTGTAACCCTTTTGTACAGTATGTTCACAAAAAATAAAAATAAAAAAAAGCAGAAATGCATTCAGATTGCTGGTCTGTGAAAAGTATGTAAAATAATATTTCACAATTTTAGAATAAACCACCAGAAAAATTTGGTCATATTACCCAACCAGCACTAGCAGTTTAGAGCCAAAAAGGCTAGTAACCAAGTAGATATTTGCTCTCCAAAACCAAAGTAGTCCTGCACAACTTGAATCAATTGGGCCATTATTAAATGCATCAATGTTAAAGAAAGAAAGAGCTGAGTGAAATGGGAAATGAGTAGAGTAACGATCCAGAAAACTGCTAACCAGAACTGACCAGATTAATATCAATTCTGAGTTTTTCTTACAAGCAGTGTGATGCTCAAACTGCCTCTACTTCCCTTCATGGGACATACTTCATACTTCAACATTGCCTTAAAAATTCATTAAAGACCTTAAAAAAAAGGAATTAGCCTGCCTAATTTTAGCATTTCTACTGCATAAAACATACTGATTTTTCTTAAGGGAATTCTATGATACCAACTTTCCTGGCTTGGAATCTGTACAATAATTTGGGCAGATTATTCTATTCCTAAAATCTTATCATGTAATGTATACCAGTCTAATGGGTAAGTATCATTATATCATTTAGTCAGTTTCTAAAAGCAAATAAACCTAAATCAGCTACACACTGAGTACTTTCTTCTATCAAGCAAAGACCAGAGAATAGATGGTGTAGAAATTTTGTTTCTCTCTCTCATCTTTATCATTTATTTATACCAACGCATGACAGTTATAACTTACTAACCACCCTGCCCATAATCCTAACACCTCTTCTACCATCCAACTAAATTACCATGGAAGTCTGGCACTGCCTTTCAGCTCTGAAAACTACTATGCTTCTGTTCAAAGGCTCACCTTCATTTGTCTAGCTGTTTCCTTTTCGGTTCTTTTTTTTTCCATAGTAAGAATAACACAATTCCTTAAATTTATAGTTGAAAAATACTAGTTTCTAAATCCATCTTTAAAAAGCAACAATAAAAATACTCTTTGCATGAAAAGGGGAAAAAACGGCAAAACTTATATAATTTGAGTCACCAAGAGAATATAAATTAAGATACAGGTTCTATTTTCTGACTCAACTCTAACTTTAACAGGTCTTTATAGGAAACCTACTCTGGGAAAAGAATTGAGAATAATTATTCTTAGAAAATTTACTTAAGCACATCATAATTTCAGCTTTAGCTTTTGGGTATTTTCCTATGTTGAAACAGTATCTAGAAATTCTAGTGTGTGCATAAACACAAACAATACAGTATTCTATTCGTCTGGTGAGTGATTGCTGAACACTACTTAAGTGCTATTATTTCTGAGTTTTTTAGAATAGAATTTTAGATACCTGATATATAATCTGTAGACTTTTTAAACTGCATCCATAGTAGTGGTATATAATAATCAATTAGAAAATGTAGCTGTGGCTCAAGTGGTAGAGTGTCAGTTCAAGGACAATGCTCAGGCCCAGAGTTCAAGCCCAAGAACCGCCACTACAAATACACACATCCCTTAAATTAATCGATGCACAATGAAAGCCTTCAATCTCCAGGTAACTATTTCTATGACACTTAATTATTTTTCATGTACATGCACCTTTAGATGCTGGTGGAGTGTTGACTAGATACTAATATGTGGATGTGTGTGTGTGTGTGTATGTGTCTTTATGTCTGTGTGTGTATATGCGATTACCTGAACATAAATATTTTAATATAATAAAATACACATCGTTTAGCATGAAGAGTTCTATAAAGCAAACATTGATAATAAACTGAAAATCATTTAGGGAAGATGAGTGCTGTCATTTCTCAGTTTTGATCTCTACCAATGCTCAGCGAGCAGGACAGTCAAAGCCAAGCCTCATTTATTCCTTTAGCATTTATTAAGAAGGTTCCATGTAGCAAGCAATTTTTACAAGGTGCTGAGCTAGAAAGTGTCTGAGCTGAAGACTATTATGGTAGGCTCACAGTTCCTCTGGGAGACTGACAGGGAATAAGTATAACATCTATGCAGCTAGAGGAAGGGACACAGATACAGACAGTATACACTTGCAACAATGGACTACCTTTGAGACTTCAGATTTAGAACCTTATTCCAGGAAAAAGACTACTGTAACAAAACACTGCTACCATTTCCAAATATATTACTAAACCTAACACATACTAGGAGCTTGCCCATGTTATTCCACCATATCCTAACAGAAACCTTGTAATTTTGAATGCCTCCACCTTACTGGTGTAAAAAGTTCATTTTAAGTAGTATTTCATTTATCCAAGACCATGGATTATCAACTGAAAGAGCCAGGATTCCAAGCCAAGTGTTTGCCCTTCAACATTCTACTTTTCTGCACTGGCCTCTCATATATAACTTAGAGGAAACGTAGATCACATTAAAGAAGTTTTAGCACATAATCTTTTGCGTCATTGCACAATTTTGTAAGTATGCAATATCCTCTGGATGGCATGCCAAATGGCACTGGTGTTGTGGTAAGTAGAAGCCGGCAAGTGTTGAGGCCTTTAAGCTCCTCCCAAGGGCTTCTGAAGTTAACAACAAAAACCACAACAGAGAGTACAAAGTTAGAAATCAATACCAGTAGTAACAATTTTAATTGTCTTTTACTTATCTTGTGGTCATTCAGGCTCCTTTGATTCCATCTTCATGGCTTATTACATACATATAAGCACACTTACATACAACAGGACCAAAACATGCATATGCACTTTTCTAGTGAGCCCTAAGAGATCAACTGGGACTTGCATAAATCCCGTAAGACAGATATCACATATGATAATATATTGCATATATTATATATTATATATAATATATCTAAACAATATATGTAATTATATAAACATGTCTTAGTTTCATATATACATACATATACATATGTGCATATATGCATATGCATATATATACATGTGTGTATATACATACATACATATGTATATGTATGTGTGTGTGTATATATATATACATATATATATATATATATATATATATATATAAAAACGTATACCAAACTAGAGCAATAAAACATGTGTACCTGTTTCTTCATCTATTCTGAAAACACCAATACCAGATCCATCTCTAATGGAGTATCGGATCTCCCCATCTCTTCCTGTGTCCTCGTCATGAGCTGACACTGTCATGACTGATGAGCCAATAGGGACATCTTCTTTCACCACACCCTTTTCCACAAAGCTAGAAAACACTGGGGAGTGTAAGTTCTCATTCACATCGACCACTTCAACTTCCACAAAACAAGTGGAAGACAGAGAAACTGGCTTCCCTTTGTCCTTGGCCCTTACAGTGAGATTATATACTTGCTTCTTCTCAAAGTCCAACTGCTGTACAATTCTAACTGCTCCACTGAGTTTATCCACATCGAAGTGTCCTTCTCCATGGTCTATAAGACTGTATCTCACTTGACTGGATTGTCCTAAATCAGGATCATAGGCTTCTAACCACATGACTATGGTTCCTTCTGGCAGATCTTCTCGAACTTTTACACGGTAATTAGGTGGAATAAACTTGGGAGGGTTGTCATTAACATCTCCTAGTGATACTTTCAAAAGCACAGTAGAATACAGCTGGGGTTCTTCTTTGGCTTGGTCTCTGGCTTCAATCTTTAAGTAATGCACATGCTGGACTTCACGATCCAAAGGCTGAACAATTTTAACCACACCAGTCACGCTGTCAATTGAAAATTTATCAGTGTCAGTAAGAATGGAGTATGTTACATGTCCATTGGGGCCTAGATCTCTATCAGTGGCTTCCACCTGAATGATCTCACTATTTATCTCCTTGTCTTCGCTCACCTCAATGAAATAACGCTCCTGTAAAAACTCAGGAGGGTTGTCATTGGCATCAAGGACAGTGATATGTAGAAGATGCCAAGCTGCCTTCTGTGGTATGCCAAGGTCATACACAGTAATATTCAGGGTATACTTGTCTGTTGTTTCACGGTCTAGTGGAGATAAAATTTTCAGCATTCCTGTTTCCATGTCGATGATGAAGCAACTATCCTCATTTCCTCCAGAAATAGCATAGACCAGTTTCCCATTGAAGCCAGAGTCAAGGTCCGTAGCATTCATGAAAATTATACTGGAACCCACAGGATGATTTTCCTTTACCTCAATACCAGTTGGAAGAGTGCTCCTGAACTGTGGGGCATGAGCATTGACAGAATGAGAATCGAAGAAAACATCCTCCATATCCTCCTGACTGTGTAATTTATTGGCCTGCAGGAGTTTCTCTGCCAGCATTTTGGCAACGCCCGTCTCTTCACACTGCAAGTTTACTGGCTTGCGGCTGGCAGCCACGGTGATGTTGATATATAACGGAGTAGCATAATTTTCTCCATCTGTAGCTGTAATTCTCAGGCTGTGAAAAGACATCTTTGCACCCAAGCCATCCATAAGAGATTGCTTTAATGATAATACCCCAGAGTTGGGGTTTAAGTCAAATAAATCTAGTTCATTTCCAGTTTCAATCTGGTATCGTACCAATTGAAGTTCATCAGCATCAATAGCAGAAACGGTAGTGATTTGCTCCCCCACACTTAGATCTCTGGGAACTGTTCCTTCACAGTTTATTTTCTCAAACAAGGGTGTATTGTCATTCAAGTTATTAAGAGTAATCGTAGCCAGGACTTCAACTTCCCTCCGGTAAGGCAAGCCCCAGTCTGATGCTCGAATCCTTAGCGTGTAAACTCGAGGCATCAGCTCATAGTCCAAGTTTTCTGAAGTACTCACAGCACCCGTGAAATGGTCGATCACAAATGGCACGTGATTTAAATTTGCAATACTGTAAGTCACATACCCATTCTCACCCTCATCAGGGTCTACAGCATTCACACTCATGACAGTAGTTCCGATGGGTGTGTTCTCATCAAAGGATGCTTTGTAGGCTGTCTGAGAAAATTCTGGTGGGTTGCTATTTACACCTAAGACCTTAACCAAGACTTTGGTAGAGGCTTTTCTGTCACTTGTCAATACTTCAAGTTCAAAATGGGACGCCTGCTGTCTTTTGATTGGTTCCAAAACAGAAATGAGACCAGTATTGTGATTTATATTGAACCTCACTTTTCCAGGTGCACTTTTAAAAATGTATCTCAAATGCGAATAGCTAGGAATGGCTTTGACCATGACCACAGGTGTGTTGGGAGGAGCAAACTCACTTATTTCTGCTCTGTAAACATCCTTTTCAAACTTGACGGGGCCAGCTTTGAACTGTGGAGAAGCCACGTGAATCACTTTGACTGAGGAGAACTGGGGAGGAGTTCCTTTGTCTTTAGCCTGAAGGGTCAGATTGTAGCCAAAAGGATGACTGTCCCAATCAATGCTACCAACAGCTTTGACTTTATACTCCTTGCTCCCTGGGAAGGACCTCACCGTTCTAAACTGTTGATGAAGGTCACCGGCCACAATAGTTAAAGAAGCTATTTCCCCATTGACGCCCTGATCACAGTCCTCCACGGTGACAATTGCAAATGTTGGGTCTTTGTCCAGTTCCGATGGTGATAATGTCACGGCTGTTACCACAGGAGCACATTCATTTGCCTGTTCCACATGAACTGTTAGCTTGGCCATGCTGCTGATACCACTGCTACCGTACAGTTTCATTCCCCGATCCACAGCAAGGATTTCCAGCTCATAGAGTTTTGTCTCTGTGTAATCGAGACTACCAGTTAATAGTACCACGCCACTGCTTGGGTGAATCGCAAACATATCTGTTCGGTCTTTAAAACTGTAGTAGAACTCTCCATTGGTTCCTATATCTGCATCTGTGGCACTGACCCTTGCAATGCTGGTCCTTATAGCTGTGTTTTCGGGTAAGGAGACACTATAGGAGGTGGGGGAGAACAATGGTCTTAAGTCATTTGTATCCAGCACTTGCACCCTGACCTTTGTTCGTGCTTCAGCATTAGTGATTTTTTCAACTGCTTTGATGACCAATGTGTAATGGTCTTTCACTTCTCTATTAAGAATAGCTGTATTTCCTCCTTTGGTCCTTATTCTTAGAAAGCAAAAGTCTCCAAGAATGTACTCTTCAGCTTTGAACAGGTTTTCATTGTCTCCTGAGACAATTTTGTACCTTAATTCCCATGAAGGGTCTGTAATGTAAATACCCATCTTTACTGGATGCCCAACGTAGGTTTTGGCTGCAGAGTTCTCATGAACAGTGACATTGTACTGGAAATGAGTAAACTGTAGAGAAGGGGTCTGTTCAAGTTTTTGGCTTCCATGGCTGTCTCCAAAATGCTGGAGGAAAAGGAGCAGTAGCAGAAGCAAGGCCAAATCTCTCCCCATGGTTTAACTCACAGGAACCTAAAATAGAAGGAATAGGAATTATTATTTTGTAGAAATAAAGCAAGCAAAATGTCCATCTTAAAGAAAGTATTTCTCATCTATATAAAATATGAAAAATTTAATGGATTGGGAGCTTTTCTGTGCTCCAATTCAATTGTTACCATCCTTCTAACAAACCTACCTTCTTTTAATGATTCAAGTTATTATATTTCATATGTGATGACTTAAGAATCAAAATGAGCCAAGTGCTGGTGACTCCCATCTGTAATCCTAGCTGTCCAGGTGACTGACAGCTGAGAATCATGGCTCAAAGTCATCCTGTGCAGATAAATTCATGAGACTTTTATCTCATGCTAACCAGAAAACAAACAAACAAAAACACAAGCAGAGCTGTGGCTCAATGTGCACAGCATCAGCCTTGAGTAAAAAACTAATGTCTGAGCTCTGATTTCAAGATCCAGTAACAGCACGTGTGTATGTGTGTACATACATACACACACACACACACACACACACACACACAAAGTCATAATGAGTATTAAGAACTACCTGCTGAAACAACTAAGTAACAACTACATTTTGTTCTTCACACGCAGTACATCTAACAAGGAATTTGAAATTAAATCCTCAACAGCGGTTTTATACGACCCTATGTAATAACTTCGTTTACTCTCATTTCAAGCTATACAACTATGTAAGGGGCTAAAATAATTATATCATAAAGTTGGATAGTCAAGTAATTTCTCAAACATCAACTTGGACATACAGAAAAGGTTCGCAATATGAAAACCAGAATCCAGCTGATGGATATCACACGTTTTTCCTAAGTCAGAGACGCAACTCACAAACAACATCAGTATTTTACTGCACAGCTGTCAATAATCAGTTCATAGAGTGTCTACTATCTCCAAGACACTGAACCGAATGTCACCCAGGAGACCCCTATTAGAAGACAAGATATACACAAGCCAGGACTAAGTCATCAAAACTAACACACGTGAAAGACAAAATCAATGCAGCAAGGCAGCAAAACTCTAGAAGGGTCTGAGATGGACTGAGAAGAGGGAAAACTGAACAAGGGGTCACCTTTCACAAGTGGGAACTGAGGTCGAGTCCACTGGGCTGAGGCCTGCTCAGAGGAACAGGACAATTACATTCCAGACTAATGTATTATGCCAACAAATTCATCTTGTAAATCAATAGAGTTTCACAAAATCCCACAGCACTGTCAACTGAGGACAGCACTATACCCTTGCAAAGTAACTCCCAGATTAATATTCACAAAATGTGAATGTTACCAGAGGTGAAAGACACACCAGACTGGGAAGCTGGTTGAAATTAGCATGGCAACATTAATTTATAGCCGCTTAACTCAGCCACTGCCAACTTTGTCCTATTAGTCACTTTTTGGGGGGAGGGGCGGGGAAGTCTTGATATGCTTAAAGCAATTAGAAGTTTAATTGATACTGAATCATGGTTAAGTTGGGCATTTAACTTGTTCTTGAGCTAGCATGCCTTCTACTATGCAGATAAAGTCAGGAAAATTTCACAGATGTTTGGCCTTTAATATTCAAACCAAAATAAGAAAAAAATTCTCCCTCTGAGCTATCTCCTTATCAGTCTAGTCAGTAGTTTTAACATTGGAAATTTCTGAGTATTTTTCAATGATCCTATAATTTTAACAGAAGTAAAAAATTCAATACAATTGAACCTACAGATGCTATGGGTCACAATCTTATACCACCACATTAGATACATAGATAAGAGAAAGGCAAGGATCTCAATCCCAAATCATTTATAAGCTAAGAATAAAATCTGTATATTAAGAAAATTATTTAAAGAACATTCATAAAGATGATAGTAAAAAAAAGTACTGTTTGTTTGAAGAAACTCATATTTTAGAGACATTATTACACTTTACAGAAAGATATTATACCAAGATCTATTGTACACACACACACTATACACACAACACTACACTAAAATATATACCTTTTTTTTTTCTGGTCCTGGGGCTTGAACTTGGCCTGGTGCAGTGCCTGAGCTGCTTTCTGCTCAAGGTTAGCACTCTACCATTTGAACCACAGCTTTACTTCCCACATTTTTTGGCAGCTTATTGGAGCTAAGTGTCTCATTGACTTTCCTGCCTGGGCTAGCTTTGAATCGCAATCCTCAGATCTAAGCTCCTGAGTAGCTAGGATTAACAAGCATGAGCCACTGGCACCCATCCTTAAAATATTTTTGCTTAGTTCATGTATAATGTTATGCAACCATTGAAAAGACTAAAATATCACTCCATATGTTAGTATGTGAAATAACTGAGAGGTATATTGACTGGGAAAACTGAGCTGATCACATCTGTTTGTTTAAAGGGAGGAGGCAGATAAATTGCATGTGTATGTCTGAAAATGAGAGAAAAATTACAGGCACATAAAAAAGAAACTTAAATATGGTTAATTTCATTCAAAAGTCCAAGAAGAGGTAGTCAGGGTAATGTACACATTTTCATTGTTCTCTACTACTACCCATTATCTTTCAAATTAAATGTTATCTTTATCATCTGCTCACCCCATTAATTACTTAATTCCTTTAATAAATATTTAGTGAACATGTACCAGGAGTCAAATATAGTTCTAGATGGTAGAGATTCAAAATTGAACCAAATTAAATTACCAAGACCTAGTGATGGAAACTGGTTCTGGGGTAAGACAGAGAAGCAAATAAGCCAATAGTTGATGAGCAATGATGAGTAAGAGCTACAGAGAAAAACAAAATAAGATAAAAGACATATTAGTTAGAACTGAAAGAAAAAAAAAAAACAACAACCGTGAGTTCAAAAGGGCTGGGTTGCTCAACCTCAGCATTTTTCCAGTTTTCAGCAGCTAATGACTAGATTCCCCGTGACACTGGGATGCTAGTATTTCCTGTTTCCACCATAAGAAAACTATAGCATCTGTCCCCAATTAAAACCAGTGTCTCTACATATTATCAAATGCCCCCTGGGGCTCAAAGTCACCCTGGTGAAAGAGAACTAGTTTAAAAAATAACCAAGAGAAGCTGGACACCAATGGCTCATGCCTGCTATCCTAGCTACTCAAGAAGCTATGGTTTAAGGTTCTAAAGCCAGTCTTGCAAGTAAGTCTTTGGGAATCTTATGTCCAACTAACCACTAAAAAAATGGTACTGGAACTATAGCTCAAATGCTAGCCTTGAGTAGAAAAATATAAGGGACAGTGCCCATGCTCTGAGTTGAAGCCCCAGTATGAAAACATAACAATATAACAAACAACAACAACCAAGAGAGTAGTATGGCTGCAAAACAACAGAGAAGGAAGAACGGTAAGGGACAGGGACAAGGAGAGAACAAATAATGATGTTAGAGACTTTAAAGTTTTACTTTTTATTTTAAAGTTGTTTTAGACTTACAGATAGTTTCCCAGTTAACATCTCATGATACAACTAGCAAATCACTACCGGTGAACTATTTTTACCTCAAGTCCATTCTTGATTCAGATTTCCTTAGATTTGATCTACTATCCTTCCTCCATTCAAAGATGCCACATAAAACATAGTATGACATCTCTCATGATGTCTCTTTAAGCTCTTCTCAACTGTATGTTTCTCAGACTTCCCTTGTTTATATCCTTGACAATTGTGATAAGAATTAATCACAAACTTTGTAGAAAATTCTTCAGGAAAAATAGCCCTCAAGCAGAATTTGTCTGATATTTTTCTGATGATTAGACTGGGGTTATGCTGTAAAGAGTAGGTTGACAAAGTCATTTTCATCATATCATAGAAATAATCAACATGACGTAAATATTAACACTGACCTTACTCACTTAGTTGAGACTCCTTTTCTCCTTTTCTTATACTGTACACTATTCATAAGGAAGTAAATTATACATGCAATCCACCCTTCAGGAGTGAAGAACCATGCTACCAAATCACTTGGATTCTTTTATAAGATTACTCTGGTCTTTCTATGTATGCATTTATTCAAACACTTTTTAGGATAATGAATTTTACTACAAATAAGATGAGATGCCACCGGAGGATTTTGAACAGGGCAGTGCATGATCTAACTGAAAGAAAAATGGGCCACTCTGGTATTTAGAGTAATATAGAAGAGTAATACAGTAATAGAATAATAATAATACAGTAATAAAGAGTAATATACCTTTTGCAAGAGAAAAAGCTGGAAGGAACATAGATGGAGGGCACTGTGGCAAAACAGGTGAGAGACCAAGGTATCTTGGTCCAAAGTGGCAATAACAGAAGTGGGGAGAAGTGGCCAACATGGCCTGGCCCAACAAATCCTATTTGGAATTGTTGATTCATTGGAAGGGATAGGGGAAGATAGAAAAACAAGTAACCTAGGAAATTTCAAGAACTAGGTGCTAAGCAAAGAAATGGTGCTGCTATGGGTCCAAAAAAATGCAAAGACCAAAGGAGGAATAGGATTTAAGAAATAAAGTCAAGGGTTTTAAACAACATGTTGGAAATGACTAAGGGTTAGAAGTATCCCCTAACAACTCATGAATTGAAAGACTTGGCTACCAGCCAGTGGTGTTACTGAAGGCTAGGAACCTTTAAAAGGTGGGGCCTAGAGAAAGGAAGTTAGGTCATTGAGGCCTGCCTTTGAAGGGAGTTGTTATCCTAGCCTCCTCCTCTTCTTTTGTTCTTTCCATCAGGCTGAGATCTTAAAGGAGGACAACACAGATACAGATGGGGGTGGGGACAGGGGTGGAGGTGGAAGATAAAACCATGGATGTAGCCTTGTTGCTCATGAAAATCTGAGCAACAGAACGTCAGCAACTTCCAGAACACATTTATTTGTTAACTGAAACTTTTCAAAACCTTGTGCTTAACTGTACACCTAACCAACAGAATGTCACCATGATTAGGATTATTCACTGCAACCCTTTGTTCAGAAAACAATCTTAGAACACACAATGAACCCTATGGCAATGTACAAAGAACTGTGAATTTGGATTTCACCATAAAACACCAAGATC